AGCAGTCTGGCTGACTGAAGATCACAGCCCTTGTATCAGGACAGAATACTGCACAGGGCTGATATCTAATCACCTGGGATGCATCAGTGAATCTGAGTATGGGGGTGCTTATTATAGTGGGCTGGCAGGAAGAGGGCATCTAAGTGAACAAATGCTCCGTGGAATATGGGATAATTTGTGCTGACAGTAGGGAGACCTTCCTGACCCACCTGGACAAAGTGAACTCTATTCATTCCCAGGTGCAGGGCTCTTGATGGCCAGCCCATTTTAACCAACCAGTAACTGAGTCATGCAGGGGTTTTAAATATAAGATGAGAAACAATTTCCATGACTCTATCACCTATAGTGAAATCTCTTTTAAAACAGTCTCTTCACTATGTCGTCAGATTTCTAGATGTTCTCTATTCTCTGCAAAACATATTGGTGGATACCCACAACTTAATAAACTTTCTCTATAAGCATGGGCCTTTTTGATTCTGTGAGTTGAGTTGTATGACTAAAAGACAGTTGTGTTTGTTAACAAATTTATGGCAGTTGTAGTTTTTATTGCAATTGTACCATGTAATGAAATATCTTGCAAACTGATATAGATGTGAAAAAGAGAGTTGTATTTCTATGAAAACTATGTAAATACTCTAGAAATACTCAAAAAAGGGAATTTGCTCAAGAAATTGCTGTTGATTAGATGTAGAGTATCTGTAAAAAAACTATAGGAGAAAAATCTCACAGTCATTACATTTTTATTCCACTTTAAAGTATGAAAACCTGGGGCGCCTGGGTGGCTCAGTTGGTTAAGCGACTGCCTTCGGCTCAGGTCATGATCCTGGAGTCCCGGGATCGAGTCCTGCATCGGGCTCCCTGCTCGGCAGGGAGTCTGCTTCTCCCTCTGACCCTCCTCCCTCTCATGCTCTCTGTCTCTCATTCTCTCTCTCTCAAAAAAAAAAAAAAAAAAAAAGTATGAAAACCTGATCATCAGAGAAAGGACTTATGTGTGTGATTTTTGCAGATTATAATCATTAGACTCTTAACCCAAAGGAAAAAGCTTGGTTTGACATTTGAAGATTGGTGAATGGATGTACATGGGAAATTTTAGGGTACAATAAAATCATTCAAGAGTGTGTATAATTTATTTTATGATTCTCCCCTTTTAACTGATGTTTTAAGCTGATCAACAAACCTCTGGCCAAGTACACATTTAGTATCTGCTGCACGTTATCCAGGTTGGGCCACGATCTCTCTCTTTGGGCTTACTGGACAAATTATTTCATGGGTTATTTTGTGCAGGAAGAGCTGAGATATTGGGTGGTCCCTGGAATTTCTACTCCACTCACATGAGATGGAATGGTAGAAACTTTTCCAGGTTTTTGTTTTGTTTTGTTTTTGTTTTAAGATTTTATTTATTTGAGAGAGAGAGAGAAACAGCATGAGAGGGGAGAGGGTCAGAGGGAGAAGCAGGCTCCCCGCTGAGCTGGGAGCCCAACATGGGACTTGATCCCAGGACTCCAGGATCATGACCTGAGCCAAAGGCAGTCGCTTAACCAACTGAGCCACCCAGGTGCCCCACTTTTCCAGGTTTTAAACAATGACCAGAAAGCTTTGGAGGCATATGGCAGATCTACCAGTGGTGTTCTGATTCTGAACCAAATAGAATCCCAAACTTTATACAACCTGGAACAGGTATAAACATCACAGCTGCCCCTCCCAGCAAGGCAAAGGTAACACTTGTGTTCATTAAGGATTTAAGAGTTCTGCCATTTTCCTTTGCTGATTTGGGTCTTAATCTGAACCTGAAACTTCAGCTGCAGCATTTTCCAAGGGAGATTTCCCTTGCACTGCAGAAATAGAATAAATGAGGTACACTGAAAGGGAGGAGAAGTTAGTATACTTCCATCTTGTTTAAAAAATAAAATAAATAAAATAAGGTTGCGGCGCCTGGGTGGCTCAGTCGGTTATGCGGCCGGCTCTTGATTTCGGCTCAGATCGTGATCTCAGGGTTCTGGGATTAAGCCCTGCATTGGGCTCCCTGCTCGGCAGGGAGTCTGCTCCAACATTTTTTCTCTCCCTCTGACTCTGCTCCTCCCACCCCCAGAAATAAATAAATAAATCTTTAAAAAAACAAAGAAGGTTTAAAAGAAGCAGAATATTCATGTCATATATAATTACCAATTTAATGTAGCATTATTTCTAGAATTGTAAGGCAGCCAAAATGATATTGGTATAGATAAAAACCCTAATGACTAATTTCATCATTGCCTTTGGGATCTACACAGTCATTACGATAGAAATGGATAATTGTGGGGACTGATTTCAGATAATAGCACCGCTAGCCCTGCATTTCCCTAATCATTCTTTCTTGCTGTGTGCAAATATGGAAAATATCAAATATACTGAAGTTGAAATAGAGATAAGGTAGTTGGGAGAGGGGAGAATTCCTGTCTCAGCAACTTCAGCAAAGAAAAAGCAATATCAAAATTAGGGCAATCTAGGATGCCTGGGTGGCTCAGTCGGTTTAGCACCCGACTCTTGATTTCAGCTCAGGTCATGATCTCAGGGTCATGAGTTTGAGCCCCCATGTTGGGCTCCGCACTGAGCATGGAATCTGATTGAGATTCTCTCTCTCTGCCCCTCCCCCTCTGCCCCTTGTGTGCATGCTCTCTCTCCAAAAAAACTAAATTAAATTAAATTTAAAAAATAAGGGCCATCTTCCAGTCACCTAGGATGAATAATCATCAAAATGATGAATAGTCCTGGTATTTTCCTTTTCTCTCTAACACAAGGAGTGACAATTTAAATTAAAAAGCAAAACAAAACACCCACTGAAAATTCACCACAGAGGTATCCACACAGAAATGATGCTACTTAAATCAGAAGTATTTTGAGCCTGGTCTGAGAGGATGAAATATTTCACTAATTACTATGCAGTGTATTTATAGTTTTAATTGTTTTTTCCCCACTTCTTAATGCTTTCTTCCAGAAGCACAGTTGCTGAAGCAAACATTTATTTTTATTGTTTCATGGGAAAAAAGTGGTAGTACCCAACCAGCTACTATAATTCTGTAAAATCGGCTACCGGAGAATTTTATATAATTTGTATCTTTGCCCCAAGGTGTGCCTTAGGGTCTGCCTTATTTTTTCTGTTTGAACTTGACAGAAAACAGTCTGTTAGAATGCAATAAATTTTAAAGGATACTGATAATACTTTCTTTCAACCACTATTTTTCAGGCAAATTTACTGCTCTCTTCTCTTCAAGAATGCCATCTAAAACCCTGAAACATTAATTAATCATTACACCAAAACATACTTTATTTGTGCCCTTGAAGGAATATATGCCTCTTTAAAAATGACATCTCCTCATTGCAAAAATAATACATGTTCACTGTAGAACATCTGGAACACAAAATAAAGTACAGAGAAAAGAATTAAACCATAATCTCACTAACTAGAGATAAGTACTGTAAACATTTGGGTAAATTGGCTTCCAGGGAAAGAATATAATTCTTTATTAAATCTTAAAAATGATCTTCTATTCCTTAATAAAACTTCTTTTCCTCAATAAAAAGTTTTGTTACAATTTTCCTCTGGGACTTGCATTTCTTATATCTTTGGAAAAGTATCTGACAGTGAACTTGATGTGCACAGCTTAAAATTTTGGCCGTATTGAATATTACCTAAGAGAGCCTAAAGTCTAAAAGAATTTGATTTATGAACAATATACTTATGTAAGATCATTGTTCAAAAGGATAATTTTAAAAATCAGGTCAGTTACTTTAAGAATGATGATTTCAAACTAAGCTTTGAGATAATCCTCGTATGTGCTTGAGGGAAATGTAGATGTGTTCAGTATATATACTTTATTTTTTTCTAGGTCAAATTTCTCATTTTTTAAAAAAGATTTTATTTTATTTATTTGACAGAGAGAGAGAATGCAGGGGGAGTGGGAGAGGGAGAGGCAGGCTTCCTGCCAGCAGGGAGCCCGATGCAGGGCTCTATCCCAGGACTCTGGGAGCATGACCTGAGCTGAAGGCAGATGCTTAATGACTGAGCCACCCAGGCGCCCCAGTATACATACTTTAATGTGTCCCAAAGCAGAACAGTATCAGAAAATTCAGCCAAATGTGGGCCAATCTCTAGGGGCATGGAAACCTCTTTAAAAAGCTTCTGTGAGCCCCATAGTACAATAAAAGAGAAGACTCATGTTTCTTTGTTTTGCCCACGTTTGGAGACTCTGAGGAGTCTCTGAGGAGAACTATACATCTGACTTGATGTATAGTTCTCGTGCCCACATGTTGCAGGTTAAAGACATTCATCATGTGGAATCTTTTAGATAAGACCATCTTGAAAGTAAGAGTTGCAATTTTGAATACTCAAGAGCAGTCTGCCGCTGGTAACGCAGGCTTGATTTTGTGGTTTCTCTTAAAGTGACAACTTAAAGCTATATTTTGTACAGTCTCTTCCAAATGAATACAAGGAGAGGAGTACAAGGAGAGTGCCAGGGCTGTTCATATATATACGCACATACACATATATATTTGCGCGTGCGCACACACACACACACACACACACAGAGGCATGCGCACCCCTTATTAACATATTCCCAATATGGTAATCAAGTGCCTTCTAGTTTTCCGTCTATTTAATACAACTATCAGGGTATTTCATTTCTATACTCAGATGTCTTCATATAAATCCTTTCTGACGATGGGAAGCCTAAAGTGGGAAGAATTCATTGGAATACCCAACTCTTGTTTGCCTGCGTGTGTGTATTCGACCAAGCGTCACTTCACTGAGTAGTGGGTAGCAATGGAAACTTTTGCAGGAAAACACCAAGAATTAGAAGCAAGGCAGAATTAGCACATTCACCACAGACTTGAACACGGAGCCGAAAGATGGAGAGTCCAGGACCCTTACACCTCCAAGGAGATGTCCACTGTCCTCCCAGCGCACACTGGGAGGGCGAGTGAATGAACAAGGGCCTGAGAAGCACAGCTGTGCTGCTTACCCGAGGGCCGTTCTGTAGTGGTAGATGGCTTCCCGGGTCCGACCCTGGTCCTTCAGGAAATTGGCGTAGTTGTAGTGAACCTTGGCATTGTGGGGCAGGGTTTGAACTCCAGACCTACAATTAATACATTTAAAGAAAAGAAAAAAGAGCAACAAAGAACTGTATTTAGGAGCATCATTGGTTTCTTTCATATTTTACTCAAGTTTCATGAACCTGCATTCGGAACGTCCGTTATATCCATCTAAGTCAGGTTTTTCAGAATTTATGAATTATGTGACTTACAAAACATGCTTCTGTGGAAAACAATGAAGGCAGTGGGTGGTGTGCACAACTAAACAAACATGCTAACTTGATAGGAAGCAGAGGTGGCGGCACAGGGTGATAGATTATTCTCTGCAGAACAAACCTGCATGCTCAGGTTCATTCAGTTTTTTTTCCTTCCTTGCTTCTTTTGTGCACTTATAACCTTCCTTAAAAAAAAAAAGTTGAGAGAGTGTCTACAAAAATAAATCATGACAAGAGGGATGACTGTAGACTGGCCTCCCTATTAAGTTTTATTGGAAATTAACATTTCCCATGTACCCAAGCCTGGGCTAATTAAAAATAAATAAATAAATAAATGCAAGTATAATTATTTTACAAGTTGCAGATAAGGAAGTGAGATTTTGCTCAAAAAGGTAAAAACCCTGCTTCCATGGCCACTGTGTTAGTCTGCTTGGGCTGCCATAAGCAAATGCCTGGGGAATCCCTACAGGATAGCAGTGAAGCTTTGAAGATGATTCCAGGGGCAGGTAGGGCAGGAGAGGATCCGTTTCTTGTTTGTAACTAGCCCACATGTTTAACCTGCACAAGATTATACAGCTGGTCCAGTGGAAGAGGTGGGATTCTAGAGGATTCTAGCTTGGGTTCTAGAGTCCCTCGTTCCCTCAACGTGCAGGCAGGTGGTGGCAGGGGAATGATGGAAGATGGGCTGGAGGGCCACTTGGAAAGAAAACTCCCAGACCGTGCATGGATGAAATGTGGGAGGCAGACAGCTGATGAGAGAGAGCAAGGAGAAAAGCAGGACAACCTAGCTTTGGGGCAACTCTAAAGCACTACTACCTCTCCCACGTAACATACTTTCATTTAGTTTTGAAAGGTAAGATCAATAGAAGGGTTTCATACAAAGTGTTAAAGATCTCTTGGGGAAATATGTAAGGGCTTTGTGATCTTTGTTGAACCTTCCCTAAAATAACCAGTTCCTTAGGACCAGCAAAGATAGTCCCAACTTAAAACCCACTGGCTGGCCACCCGAGGAACTCTCCAGAGGACAGAACTTACAGGGAGTGCAAGAGCCTAGAGACTGACCCGAGGGCAACATCATCTGAAGGCAGCAGACTCCAAACTTAGGCAGGCTGCTTCGGTGCCCACAAAGGTAGGGCAGGTGGCTAGGATTTTGTGGTGGCTGGGGCATGGCTGATCACAGACTAAATCTCTCAGGAGCAGTTAAAGCCCAGATTGCCATCCTGACCCTGAACATCCAAGTGACTTTTTTCATTATTCCTTCCCCATTCCAGCAAAAGACAGGAGTTTTACTCTCTGGAAAAGCTGAGCTAGAGAGATCCTGTACTCGGGAATGACAGGTACCACCGAGGGAAGGGAGAAGGGTGGTACCTCAAAGGTAGCTTAGGTGAAGATTTGCATTCTGAACACTGGGATCTCAGTTTCCCCTCTTATAAAGCTCTCTGAATATTGGCGGCCGGGATTGGACCCCCAGGGAGGAGACAGGAGAAACTGTCTCAGTAGAAACGGATGCACCCAAGACAAAAGATTGACAAAGGCCGACGTTCGGGTGCTCCCGTGAAACCCTCGGTATCCTTCAGTCACTCTATGGTGAGACCCTACAGCTGCCACAGAAAGCCAGGATTTTAATGGAATATTTAAAATGGATAGTACGCAAAGTGAATTCAGTCACCGGGGAAGAGTCTGGGTCAGAGTGCTAGTAACGGCTTAAAAAACATTCCAATGTCTACCCAGGAAAATTTCTGATTTTTCTATCCAGAAATAAGTAGTGCATGGTACAAGGCAGATTTTAAAGGTAACTTTGATGTCAGCATGGACGTAACTGGCATATTGGAATTGATCCCTCCCTCTGTGTGATTAACATGGTGACTCTAATTTATGTATCACCTGAGGAACAGACAATTAGGCCTGTGGAAACATGGTCCTTGCGAAGATCGGGGCATTGTTCAGTGATGGCCAGAGGAAGTAATGATGTTCGTAACAGGCAAGCAGATGTGGGGTGGGGTCACTGGAATCCGAAGAACACACTGCTTTTTCCATTGTTGTTTTTGACCTTTATGTTCTCTCTGTGGTATTTTTCTGCTATGTTTTTCCAGTCTCTCATTTTACAATGAGTTGTTTGTGGAAAAGGGGAAATAAGCAACTGGCCAAAGGCAAAAGTTTCCACGTAGCTGTAACTGGCCAGGCGGCTTCTGCTTCCAGAGCCAGTCCCCTCCTTTTGCTCTACAGATGCTACTGTTTCATAGCACAGTCGTTTCGATGGAAACAGCAGCTTACATATATTTACTCTACAAAGACCTGTAGTATTCATTAGGTATGCAGTTGGAGCTCCATCCCCGTTCATAATCCCAATGCTGATTACAAAGAAAAATCTCCTTTCAGCTCAGGATCTTCATTCATGTACCTCACATTTCTCCCTCACACCTCTCATTGGTACAACACTTGAAAAATAACAAACATGACTCAAAAGCCTCTTCTCTCAGATATATCTCCAAGTTTATAGAACATCAATTTGTTTTGTTGGCATTGCTGGACAATAGGTCACGAGAACCATTCCCGAATTCCTGATGAGAAAACAAACATTAAAACAAATAATAATAATGAGCGGTGTTCAGCCAGAGGTTAACAGGAAAGGAAAGTAAGAAGGATTTGTGATTCTCTTCAACGTTGACCCTGCTATGACCTGAGGGTGCACAATGCCACATCCAGAATGCCTAGTACTCACGGGACGGAATGCTCAGTCTGAACCAAGTTCCAGGCTAAGCACTCATTTCCCTGGATCGTCTCCTTTTATCCCTTCAATAACCTACTGGATGGGTAGAATTATGGTACCTCCCACACCACAGATAAGAACACTAAAGTTCAGAGAGATGAAGACCTTTCTCTAAAGTTTACAGACCGAGAAAAGTAGTGGAGCAGAGATTTCAACCAAGGCCAATACATGGTCAGAACCATTCCTGAAGCTGATCAACATGTGATGCTAAACCAGAAAGGTACCACAGGACATAGTAACATTATAATTTCACTATCACAATGTTTATCTCATTGCTAAGCAAATTATGGCCTTGTGGGCCGCGGGCGCGCCAATGTGTTTACCTATTATCTTTGGCATCGTTCCCGAGACAACAGCAGGGTTGAGTCGTTGCAAAAAGACACTATATGGCCCACAAAGACTAAAATATTTACCATCCACTCCTTTACAAAAGAATTTGCCAAACTTCAGCACATATTCTTGGCCCTGGGACGTTGGCTGATCTCTCTGGCTTAGCAATTCAGAAAGGAAGAAACAGAAATGTGTTCCCTACAGAGATGGAGAATAATCTAGGCCAGAAATTCTTAATTGATGGTCTGTGGATCACTTAAATAGTTCATGAATGGGATTCAGAGAGACACTTAACTAGATGCCAATAAAAGAAAAATGTGCTCTCTGCCTTTTCAGGTATTTCGAAGATTTGGGGCATAGAGGGGCTTTTACCAAAATGTGTTATTACAGTTCTACTTACCCCAAACAAATCCAAAATTCGGGGCTGTTACCAGGCCCAGCTGGAGCTGTGCAGTGACCCTCTTCCCAGGTTAGGCTACCAGAACAGTTCCTTGTTATAAAGAATTAAAGAAAATATAGCTTGCAGCTATGATTAGGAACCAACCCCTCCCTCTCGCTCTCTCCCCCTCTCTTTTTTTTAAATACTGGGCTTAGTTTTAGTTAGAAAACATAAAGTAAAGAATCAGCGTAGCAAGGCTTATGTATTCTTTTATATCAAATCCGGGTTCAAAGCCTGGCTTCTCCTCTTCACAGCTAGTTCAGCCTGGACCAATTACTCTCTCCAGGCCTCTGGTAAGACACAAGTGCAGCTTCTTAGGCTCTGTGCAAGCTTCTTGCCTGTGGCACTACAAAGCTGTGAGGGGGGCCTTGCATCTGTACCTCCTAAGAATACATCACACGGTGGGATCTTTTTTGTTAGAGGACGCCTTGGCTGGAAAGGCTGGGCCTTGACGGAAATTTGGATTTTCTCCAACACAAAGGTCTGTCCTAAGATACTCTGTAAGACTGTTCATAGTACTGCCAAGCAAAACCACTCCATGTAATAAGAGAGGCCTTAATGAGACCCTACGTCCAAGGAACGGTCAATGAGTTCATTGTTTAGAACAGAGGAGAAGCCAGATGGGCTTCTCACAGGGGCATCACCTTATCTAGAATTATAACAAATTTTTCTTACTCCAATCAGCCAGTTCTTGGTTTTGATCACCGTGGCTAATTTAGGTTGTTTTCATCTTTCTGTACGTAGCTCAGGTCTATAAGGGAACAGTTCTTGAAGGCCTGGGTTGTTCTTAGCAGCCTGCTTGTACTTACACAGTTGTCCTGCTGCCTCTGTCTACCACCTGCTATGTTATGTTAAAATGTGCTTATGTGTCTGACCCCCATGCAGACTTTCAGCTCATCTACAGATAATCTCTCTCTCCCCCTTCCCACCACCTCTCTCTCATACCCTAGAACATAGTAAACAGCAATAATTTGAAAACCTTACATAGTGTTTGTTGTACTGCCTTATGCATCTTTCACATACTCATTTATTCTTACACTACACCCCAAATAGAACATTATTATTATTCTTTTAAGTTTCAAAATAAAGAAACTAAGGCATGGAGTGGTTAGGTACCTTGCCCAAGGTCACACAGCTATGAAATGGCGGTACTTGGAGAGGAGCCAGAAAGTCTAACTCCAGTCCCCATACTCAATCCGGTAACTCTATCTTCCTTCAAAGATTCTTGGTAAATGTTCGTTTCAACTGATTCGAGCATGACTCAGCACTGATGAATACATGCAAACATCTGGTTTTAGAGAATAAAGAATATTCTTAAAGTCTCAGATGCTTAAAACTTTTCTTGGGACATACATAAATTGTAATAGGCAAAGTTTTCTAAAAACTATCAAAAGCTTTGATTTGCACATTATATAAAATTCCATTTGATCACCAAAGGCCTCCTGGGGCACAAAACCTCTTCAAGCACATATGTAGAATGGCTGTGTTTTAGTAATCAGCTGTCACTACATACTTTCATCTAAAAAAACCCAGAAGCCTCTGGATGCAAGGTCAATGAGCTTTTTGTTGATCTGTTTTTAAACTGGCATCAGCCTTAGAGGATTTGAACATGAACTTGTTATCCTTGAAATAAACTGCTGCCTGCCAAAATCCACCCCCAAAGTTGCTCTGATAAAGCAGTAAACATCATCAGAAGACCCAACCTCTGTTAGTACCTTGATTCAAGCAAAGGGCTTAATACAGGGTGGAACAATTTTAAGGTCTCTCATAAAAGCATTGACTGCTGAAAGCAAAAGAAAAAAAAATTCAAGCCAACAGAGACTAAGGGGAAGTTGTATTGCTGAACTTCCATGCCCCTGTGTTTACAGAATGACCTCAGCATGGTTAGCAAGAGGGAACAAGTTCACTGTGGTCTGGGAGAACTGCCAGGTAAAGGTATGTGACAGAGAATGAATAGAATCTGGGATCTTAAGGTGAAAAAATATTCATAAAAAAATCACCAGGTCTCTACAGTACCCACTGTGGTAATGATGATGACCATGACGATATAGTAATAATAAATAAGCTAATAAGACATGCGTGCCAGGGGTGCCTGGGTGGCTCAGTCGGTTAAGCATCTGCCTTCAGCTCAGGTCATGATCCCGGGGTCCTGGGATCGAGCCCTGCATCAGGCTCCCTGCTCAGCGGGGAGTCTGCTTCTCCCTCTCCCCCTGCTCGTGGGTACAGGCGTTCTCTCTCTCTCAAGTAAATAAATAAAATAATTGGGGAAAAGAAAAGACGTGCATACCAAACTAATTTTTTTCTATTAAGAAAAAAGTTAAACTGCCAAGTAGCAAAATCAAATATGTTGTTTTAAGATAGTAGAAGAGTGCAGTGAACATTTGTCTTATTTGTTCATTTGCTCATTCATTCATTCATCTGTTTGTTCATTCTTGGCAGCTATAGTCTGTGCCCCTCCTCCAGTACTTGGATTTCCTGTGGGGAATTCACTCTTGCCTCACTCTGTGAAGTCTCAGTGGAACCCCAAGGTGCTTGGCCTAACTCCCTGGAAGTCAGAGGGGCTTCTTTGGCCAATCACTCATTCTAGTGCCCTGGTGGAGACAAAGGGCAGGCATGTGACATACAGCTCAAGCTCAGCCAGAGGACTTAATTTTTCCAAGGCTTTGATGTGAAGATAAAAAATACCTGGTGTAAGTTTACTTATTTGTTCCTGGGTGGGCGCTCGGGTGCTCTCAAGACAGATTATCCCGAAGCCTGTTTTCCTGTCTGCTCTGTGCCAACTTCTATAGTAGCCCTTCAATTCTGTGCACCTTCCTCTACTCTTCCAATATTTTCCTTTTTCCCAAGCGATCCCAACTCTGTTTCCGTTGTTTGCTCCCAGAGTATAAGTGTTGGGTATCAGCTGAGCAGAGAACCAAGTAAAAACCACACTGACTGAATTGTGTAACTGGGTCGTAAGTGAGGACAGAAGCTGGAAGAGGGCACAGACTGGGAATCCCTGGAAACCTGGAAAAATCCTGTTGGGATCCTGGTGGGGCAGTGCCAGGGAGCCCAGGTGAAGGTCATTATGCATTAGTGAGGCGCCCTAAGGTCCAGAAAACACGGCACGATGAGCAACAGTCCCGAAGAATGTTTATACTTTACGACAAGTTTAGGGCTTTCAGGTGACGTTGTTACATTCAGAAACAGCTTCTATACCACACAGAAACCTACCAGGAGATGAGAAAAGTCTTCCATTTCTTTGTTCACAATTAATGTTCAGAATAAAGCAACTAGATCACAGATCACAACTTAATGTCCTGGAAGAGTCTAAAGAAAATGTCCTGCGTTCCTCTTCCTTCCTGCTGGGTGCTCACCTTTCTCATTGACTTGTCTGCATAATGAAGTTAGGCTTATCATTTCATTTTGTTTATAGCTGATTTTAGAGCCCAGCTCATCATTACGACGGTTCCACAGACCCAGAAACCTTCCCATGAACCTTATTTTCATAAATTCACTTAGAATGAGCTCACATTAAACTTTATTGAATACCATTTAAAAAACTAAAGCTAAAACCTCAAATAAAATTACATCTTCCACTTAAAACTTTACTTTAAAAAAAAAAACAAAACAAAACCAAAAACCCGTGGGTTAATGATTATTGCCAGACCCATGTTATCTCATTTGTTTGGAAACAAATATGTAAGCAAAGAAATGCATGGGAAGAGCTTTGCTTTTCTCCATCTAATCGTACCTGAACAGGGACTCTCTTGACAGCCAAATTTCATTCTGCTTCACAGTTTTCCAGGAGAAAAGCAATAATAGCAGCACAGTGCACACGGTCAGCGTGGTGGCCCCGCATCGATTCAGCCAAGTGCAGAGCTTCCTCAATCCGTGCACAAAAAGGATGCAGTAGCCCATGCTGGGAAACAGAGGGAGAGAGGCAGGATTACTTCGGGGGTGCAGTGGAGTCCCCCTGAGTATTCGATCCCATATAACTAACTTTCAAATAAAACTTGCCCCGTGACAGAGAAGCAAATATAACCCCCCCCATCTTACACAGTATTTACATGTTGTTTCTCTGAGGCGCTATTCCAGCGCATTGCTAGCCCTCTGGCGTTAGTGTGGAGAGTAACAGGTTCATCGTTTAGGCTCAAACTGCCCTGGATTTCAGCAGCATCAGCAGACGTCCCCTTTGTGTGTTCTTGGTTCGTGAACAGACCCTCTGACTCTCGCTGTCTTTTGTCACTGACACTGTATAACCATATTGGCACCACGAGTCTAAATCTAGACTGTGTCGCAGAGGGTGACGTCGTGGCTTTGTGAGAGCCAGTCCCCCCAAGAGCTCCCTATCAGCACCTGGGAGGAATGCTGGTCACCAAGGAGCACTGGCAGTCTGTCTCTAGGGATGTGCCGCCTGGCATGTTCCCACTCTGGTCGAAGTCCTTATGCGGAAGGAAAATCATCTATCCCCAGGCCAGCTCCTGAGCATTGCGTCTTGGAGCCCGTCACAGACAAACCGTTTTGATAGGATTTTCTTGCTGACTCTGGCTCAGCTTTCTAAATAGACATGAAGACTCTCTCATGTTATCTGAGTGGCGTGTCGACAGCACAGCTCTAAAAACCTTTGGCTGGAATGTGGTCCCTCACATCATCTATGCAGTCGACTGGCCTCAGAAATCACAAACATTTAATTTGTATCCATCAGCCATGAGCATTTCAGTTAAGACCCACTTCTTTCCCTGGATAATAGACTACAAATTATTACGGAATATTTTAAGAATGAAGCCAGCTTGTGTAAAGAAATCCTACATCAGTTAGACATTAGTGCCATAAGAAGCCCAAAATTAATATAGCCCATTTACTTGTTCAATTATTTATTCATTCTCTCTCTATATGTGACTGGCAATATAGTGGGCATTAAGAATTCAATTATGAATAAACCACAGGTCCTGCCCTCAAAGAACTCCAGTCTACTGGGGCAGATTGGTTTTGTAAAGGAAAACACTTAAATAGTCTCATTTCTAAACATATCTCCTTTAAAAAAAAATCTCTCCACTTCTGTTCCCTTTTCTAAAGGTCTATGGTATCAAGGGTAGAAAAACAAGAGAAGCATTTGAGGTTTCTGACATGGAGATGCTGGGAATCAGTTCACGTTCAAGCTCCAATTCCATACTTCAAATCCCCTAAGTCGGTTGGTCCAGCTCCTTAAACTTTGAGGGTTCACTGTTAGGCCAAACAAAGGGAGTCACCACCCCACTTACTAGATTTGAGCTAAGGAGGCTGGATTTGATTGCCATAAGCACTGTGCAGAAACCTTGAACATGCTAGAACGTAGAGTCACTAACACAAAAATAATAAAACCCCAAAACCTCTTCCCACTTCCACAAGTCATGTTGGGCCTTAAAGGTTTCAAGATTTTCCAAACGTCTCTCAGTCTCTACAACCGGCCATGCCGATGCATTATAGGTCACCATGGCTGCTTGAGTTCATGAGGATGCTTGCCATTTGCTTCTCCAGCTTCATCCAAATCCCAGCTCTAATGGAGCAGGGTGCATCTCTGGCCACACAAAAGCCTTCTGGGCTCTGTTCTTCTGTTCAACAGATATTTAATAAACCCCCAACTGTATCCTGCCATGAGATCATATCAGTGGACAAAATAGACAATAATTCCTGTCCTCGTGGAACCCACGTGGGTGGGGACAATAAGCAAATAAAACAGAGTGTACCCCACAGCAGGATATGTTACGTGGGTAACAATCTATCAAGCAAAGAGGAAGAGGAAGTCCGGGGTGGGGAGGAAGTTGAGATTTTAATATGGTCTGGAATGGCGCCACGGGAGCAAAGTCCTGAAATGCATGTACCCCGTGCAGGCACCCACAGCTCTCGCTGTCTTCTTGCTCCTGCTTTCATAAGGCAGCGCCATGGAGAACTAATGTTTGCTGAGCATATCTCACGGGCCAAGCACGTTCCGTGTAGGAGTCCAGCCCATCCTCGCGTCCCTGTGGGTCACTCGCTGTGAGCGGTGTTTAACCATAAGGACGCTGACAAGGAGAAAGGTGAACTGATTTCCTGAATTCGGTCACACAGCCTGTATAGGAGGGCCGAAGATACAAACCCACGCATTTCAGATTCCAAATTCACGCTCCATATGCTCTCCTGCTTGTCTGGCTTTTGACTTGATCCTTGGCGTTCCTCATACCTTACCACACAGCTTCACCTACTTCCCTCCTAACCACGCCATTCACAAAATTTTAGTACTAGTTTTCTGTCTCCTTGTAGGAAACAGAGCTGCCCTGCGGCAGAGCAGTGGAAGAAGAGAACACTGGGATCTCCACACAGGGTCTCTGAGCTATGGCCACAAAATGGCAGAAGACAAGAATAACGAAGATAACAATGACAGAAGTAATGAGCTATTTTACACATCCGTATGTTTATACTGAGTCCTTCCTATTGGCCAGGCACCACACTCAGAGCGTTGCATGGGCCTGTCCACAATATTGGTAGGGCCGAGGATAAGGACGGTACTGGCTTTAAATATATTATCTGATTTAAATATATAATCCTTGGTATCTTTGACTTCTTAATTGAGGAAATTAAAGCTTATAGGAGTCAAATAACTTGTCTGCAGCACCCACAGCTAGTAACAGAGAACACCCATGACTCTAACACGATGCTGATCTCCAGAAGTTGGCAAATGTTTTCTGGAAGGGGCCAGAGAGTAAATATCTCAGGACTTTCAGGCTTTTCTGTCCTGCCCACTCTATCTTTGGAGCAGGAAAGCAGTCATCGACACCATGTAAATGAATGGGCATGGCTGTGTTCCAATAAAATGTATTTATAAAACAGGCAGTGGGCCAGCCTCCCCTCGGGAGCCACAGTGTGTTGACCCCTGCTATAACCGAAGGAGGAGTGACCCCTGCTATAACCAAAGAAGGAGAAGGCCATTCCTTTCCACTCAGCACAGGCATCAGTATCAAGTAATGTGATCATTTTTTTTGGAAAGTCCTTGTATTGACATATGGTTTAAGGAAATAGTAAGCCATATAAAATCATCTCTACTTAGGCTTGCAAATTTCTTAGAGAGTATCACATTCTTACAAATGTGAACACAATATCACAAAGATTAAGATGCTTCTCTATTATGACATTTCATCTTTCAACATCTGCTTTAATACATTGATCTCAGCGGCAGGGGGGAGAACTGCTCTCTCCATTTCTCGGGGCGGGGCAAGCCCTCATTTTGAAAGTAGAAAATCAAGCAAATGAGAAGCTACATGCCTTTCTGGCCTCCAAGGAGATGAAACCAGACTGCAGGTTGCTTTGGTGAATCTGGTTAAGGAAAATCTGGGCTCTGATCAGAGACCTCTACACAGAGCATAAAGGAGTCAATTTTGCAAACCACTGACAGTGGACAAAACCAGAACCTGAAGAACCAAACTCTGGTTACTGATTGGTTTGGCTCAGCACTGAGACGCATTTTCAAAGCAGCTTGAGAAGCACCACGGCTTCTGGGACTGGAGTCATTATTTGATCTCTCACTCACAGGCTGAAGGTATCCCCATTTCAGTGCACGGAATAACTAGAGACTAGGCCATCTCTCCCCTGATATTTTTATGATGCTCATCCAAAGGGAATTAAAGAGGAAATGCAGGTCAACAATGTTTGTCCTTCCATATTAGAATGAAAAATATTTAAACCTGTTATTTGAAAACTGTGTGAGAAGTTAATCACTGTGTAAATAGTACAAATGTACTTTCACGAACCTTCCCCAGAAGCTCTTAAGTGATAAAAGAACAACACTTCTCCTTCCTATTTACATCAACCTGAAAAGGGGACAATTTTCTATCTCTGGGCCAAGCATGTTATGATGTTTACTATGGCTTCACTTTTTGTTTAATTACATGAAGCAAAGAGAATCTTTTCGCTATTAAATACAAGTGAAATTCTTTTTATTTTTTTATTTTTTTTATTTTTTATTTTTTAAGATTTTATTTATTTATTTGAGAGAGAGAGAATGAGAGAGAGCGAGTACATGAGAGGGGGGAGGGTCAGAGGGAGAAGCAGACTCCCCGCCGAGCAGAGAGCCCAATGCGGGACTCGATCCCGGGACTCCAGGATCATGACCTGAGCCGAAGGCAGTCGCTTAACCAACTGAGCCACCCAGGCGCCCTCTACTTTTTAACTTAAACTCAAACAACCCACTGAAAAGATCTACAAATAACATTAGTGATACAAGACAGACACAATCTCACGATTTTATTACTTAAAAAAAAAAATTCCCAACTTTAGATAGCTGAAATGAAACATGGCCCTACTTAGCTTCACTCTGGTTTGGTGACTCCCCACCTGGCAAATGATGACAGTAACGTCTGATTCTGGTCTCATGGATGGTTAAACAATAAAGCCCTGGAATGTGGAGCCCAGAACAGGTGCTTGATGCCGCAGCCTAGACGCAGCAGGGGACCAATGGCGAGGCCTCAGGTCAGATTTAACCTGGAAGCTGTCAGCTTCGGATGAGCCAAGACTCCCACCTTGTTCTTTTTTTTTTAATCTCACATATTTGATGGGCGGGAAAATTTTTCAGAAGGTTGAATGTATTTGGATGCGACTTTATTCATATTCCAAGAAAATGACTCCAAAAGCATTTCTTGTACATTTCTCTCTTGTGCGGCTCCTCATCCTCGGCGCTGCATTCCCGTGGTAGAGAGGAAGAGCTTCTTTCTATCACTTCTCCACGAAATAGATTTCGTCCATTCTTTCCTCAGCATATCTATGAACAGCTGGGATAATAATGTCATTGCTTTCACCTTCTGAGAACCGGATTCTCCTCTACGTCTTTGAAGATGAGATGCTTCCTCTCAACCTTGCAGTTCATCTACTAGCTCCGAATTTATGAGACCTCTCGTGGTAAATAAGGCA